CTTCTGCAAGGGCATCTGCCCGGAGATTGCCTAGCTAGCCTTGGACTGATCCCACCTTTGTTACCGATCCTGGTAGTCAAGGATAATTGTCACCAAACAACTGATATCAGTTCCTCTCCCCCTCCCATCTCATCTGTGGTTTTGCCTTTAAAACCTGCTGTGGGATTGTAAATCCTAGTTGGGCATGTTCAGGGCCACCTGAGTAAGTTCATCTGGGCTGCATGCCGGGTGTAGTTCTCAAACCTATGCCTACATAAATCCACTTTTGTTTTATATGTTGCCTCAGTTTACCTCCTAGATCAAGAAGTCAATGGGGCGAGGGCATCTATGCAGAAATGTGATTGAACAAGAAGAGTTTGAGTTCATGGAAACAGAGTAGGGAAACAGCAAGGTCCATTTAGAGTCTTCTGGTCTTTCTGAGTGGCATTTCATTCTCCCAGGGATGGGGCAGGATTCTTCTGGAACGAGGGTCTTATTATCTAATGCTTCATGAGGTGGGTCAGAGAATTTCTCTGTGGCCGACTAGTACACAGAATGGTGGAGGAAAGGTTGAGTCACGTTTTTAGGTCTTAATGGATGACTTTAGGGAAATGGGTTCTGGTTTCTCTAGCCCCTTCCCCTTGGAAAATAGGAATTACAGTTTCTATGGCTTGTTTAGGAGAAAATGTGTGGGAAAAATGAAGAGGAAGAGACAAGCGAGCTGGAGAAAGAGAGAAACACAGCTCCTGAGGCCTTCATTTTGGGGCGTCGTCTTCTGAGCCCCAGCCGCCTTGTGATCACCTGCAGTTGCTTTGCTTATAGAGTGGGGAGACAGTGAGTCTGGAAGGTAAAGGAGAAATGTATTTGAACAACAACAACAAAAAACCCCCAAAATGTTCATAAGACAAAAGGTCCAGGGAGTCGAGGCAGCATCTGGAGCCATTCCAGGTGCTGTTCCAAGAAAGCCCCAAGATAGGCCTGAGTTCTATTCCTCATGGCACTGACTATTTTCGGCATCTATCAGTTTCAGTTTGGTCATGTGATATTTTAGGATGAGTGATTTTGTTTTGGTCTGGTCTGCTGGCTACGCATTTAAATCACCTGGGGTTTTAAAAAACAATGCCTGGGGCTTGTGTAGTAGTTCAGATGCTGGATTCCCACAGGACTGACCACAGTTCATGTCCTGACACAGTGGCTTGAAAATCACGCAGGGCATGTGTGTGTGCATGCCCCAGATCCTGAAAGAAAACTGGAGGAGAAGGGATTATGGCGTGGCCAGTCTGACGGGAGTTGATTTCTTTCCCTTTCTCTGTCTCTCTCCGGCCAGCACATGCACCCTATGGCAAAAACCTACCCCCCCAAAAAGAGTACTGATGTTAGATGTTAGATCCCATCCCCAGAAATTTAACTATGTGGAGTGTGGCCCAGGGGGTGGGTTGTTTATTTATTGATTTCATTTACTATAGGGCGCATGAGTTTGCTGGTGATAGAGAAAGAGGCAGAAAGAGAGTGAAAGTAAGAAAGCTTCCTTTCCCAAGAGGGGATGGTCACACAGCACTTCCCTCTCCATTCGCTGCTTGGGAATTTGGGCAAGTCTGCACACATGCCCTGTGTGTTTTGTTTTGTTTTGGTTTGTTTTTTGAGAGGTTTTTGCCATAGGGTGCGCGTGCTTGCCAGAAAGACAGAGAGAGACAGAGAGACAGAAAGCGAGAAATCACCCCCTGGGGGGGATGACTATGCCGCAATCCCTTCTCCTCTATTCTCCTCTTGGGATCTTGGGCACACATGCACATGCACCCGGCGTGAGTTTAAGTCACTGAGTCTGGCACTCAAACCGCGGTCGACTACATGGGAGTCCAGTGACATAGCCATTACGCTAACTGCTGGTCCCTGCCCTGTGTATTTTTCAAACCGCCAGCTCTGGGACTCAGATAGTGCAGTTGGTCATATGGGATCCAGCCATCTTAATCACCAAGGTGCCAGTGGGCTCTGGTAGCTAGGATTTCTTTTTTTTTGAGTTATTTAGTTTTTATTTTACTTATCATTATTATTAATTTAGTTTTATCACGAGAGAGAGAAGTGAGAAAGCAAGCCACCAGGTCTGGGACTCAGATCATGGTCAGCCATGTTGGAAGCCAACCCAACCACTAGGCCATCTGCTGGCTCCAAGAGAGTTAGGATTTTTTTTCTTTAAATAATTATTTTATTTAACTTAATTTATTTATTTTTAATTTTAACTGGAGAAGGACAGAATGAAAGAGAGAGAGAGAAAATGAAAAAGCAAGCTGCCAGGTCTGGGACTCAAACCACGGTCAGCCATATGGGAATCCAGGGCCCTTAATCACCACACCACCTGCCAGCCTGGGAATTAGAATTTTAAAAAGCTCCCCAGGAGCCTTCTTGGTCCTGCAATGGAGCAGGTGCCACTGTCACTGCTTGTGTTGGATCCAGAACTGTAGCAGGACATGGGACAGGAGGATGAGTGAAAGATGCTGACCGGGTCCAGAAATCCCAAGGAGGAAGAAGAGGAAGAAGAATTAGGGATCCCCTAACAACGGTGAGAGCAATGCGAGCAACTGGAGAAGTGTGTAAAGGCCCCAGGAGTGACTAGAGCTCTGCTAAGAGCATGTGTCCTCCCAGTCACACACAGAAGAGGACTGCACAGAGGAGCTCTTTGATTTCTTGCATACAAGGGATCCCTGCATGGCCCACAAACTCTTCAGCAGCTTGAAATAAACATACCGACTCAGTCACCCAGCCTTCATCCTTTGGGCATCAGGATATTTCCTTATGGTTTTGAACATGCCATTTGAATTTAATTTTTTTTTTTGGAGAGGTTTGCTATAGGGCGCATGCGCTCGCCAGAAAGACAGACAGAGACAGAGAGACAGAAAGTGAGAAATCATCCCCCGGGGGGATGGCCATGCCACAATTCCTTCTCCTCCATTCTCCTCTCAGGATCCTGGGCACGCACGCACATGCGCCCAGTGTGAGTTTTAGCCTCTGGATCCAGGACTCAAACTGCAATCGACTACATGGGAGTTCAACGACATAACCATTACGCTAACTGCTGGTTCCTGTATTTAATTTGTGAACTATAAGTTCATATAAACCTTCTGGCGTAGGCAAGTAACTTCTATGTAATTAGCAATGATTCCATCTTAACAAAGTCCTGTGACCTGCAAAAACAAAAACAAAAGCTCCCCAGGAGGCCAGCCAGTGGTGTGGTGGTTGAGGTGCTAGACTCTCACCTGGTTGACCGCAGTTCAAGTCCTGGACCTGGCAGCTTGCTTTCTCACTTTCCCTGTCTCTCTCTGATCAAATTAAAAATTAATAATAAATAAAATTAAATAAATAATTTAAAAAAACCAAAAAGCTCCCCAGAGTTGTGCAATGTGCAGCTCTGGCTGGGAACCATGACCGCATGGCTCTTTCCCCCAGGTTGAGGGTAATTGGCTGCTACAAAGATGGAAAAGGAATGGTGCTGGAAGGAAGTCTGTACAGCCCCTTCCTAGGGCCCAGTGAAGCTCCAGTATGTACCAGTATGTGTCCTGCAGCTCCCACCACACATTAGCACACATCCCCCAATGCATAGGACCATGAGGGTATCTCATACAATCCATGGGACTAGCCTCAGGACAGAGTTCTAGTTTTGCTCCTGCTGTGCTACCCTGGGCAAATCCACTTCACTTTGAACCTCAAATTGTACTTGTGTGTAATGAAGAGATTGGACTAGTTGAGTGGGAAGGGTTGATCAGAATGGGAGGAGCATTAGGTGAAGTCTAGAGCTTAGCTGATAATAAGGTATCAATGTCATAGTACATGGTTAGCTCTGAGCAGCACAATGGACCCACAGAGGGCAGGTCTGGGTTTCAGTTTGCATTCTGGGACCTCCCTGAGCACTCTAGACAGACATTCATACTGATGATCTGGGCTGACTGAGAATGGGGGAGGACCCTACTGGGGGCACCTTTTTCATGGAAATAAAAAGTACCATATCTTAACGTTAATAATGGGGAAACTGGAAGTGAGTTCTGTACTATTTTTGCAATTTTACTGTAAACTTAAAAGTAATTCCGAAATAAAAAGTTTGTTGAAAAAAAAAAATCAATTAGGCGGCCAGCAGGTGGCAAGGAGGTTAAGGCGTGTGGCTGGAGTCCTAGAAGGTGGCTCGAAAAACATGCCAGACCTGTATGTCAGCATGCGCAAAATCCTGAGAGGAGAATGGAGAAAGGATTGTGGTGTAGCCATACCCCCTGGGAGTGATTTCTTGCTTATCTTCTCTCTCTTTCTCTGTCTCTCTCCAGTGAGTGTATGCACCATATAACAAAACAAACAGATTCATTAGGTTAATTCTAAATCCTATCCATGCATTCATTTATTCAGCTAAAATCGCCTAGTCTATGTCAGGCACTGGGTATACATTACTGAGTAAAACTCATTGTTCCACTCCTCATGGAGTTTGCAATCTAGTGATAATTTGGAGGGAATAATATTCCTATTGCCTTTTAATAGACAGCCTCAATTAGTGCACTAGCCTGACAAAATCCTGGCTGATGGCATACAGATGCAGTATTCACTGCCTAGCTGTGCCAGCTGGCAACACTAACCTGTGTATCAGTTTCTGTTGCGTTGCAACAGCACAAAAAAATGGATGCTCTTCTAAGTCCTCAGCATGTCTTAACTCACTAAATGCTTGTTGTTATAATTATTGTAATAATTAGTAAAACGACACAGTGATTCGTAACACAGATATGAGGAAGCGTAAAATGGGCAGGGACCATGACAATTTTGACGCGATGGTCCCAGAGCGAGTTCAGAAGTCACAGCCCCGCCTCTTCTTAGGCCCGCCCCTCTACGCTCAGTTCCGCTCCTCCCCTCCCCCCGCTCAGCCCGGTCCCTCCCTGGCTCAACCCCACCCCTCTTCCCCGCTCAGCTCCGCCCCCCGCTCTGCTCCGCCCCTTTCCTCTGCGTCAGAATCGGCGCCTTGACACCCACGCTGGGAGGGCGGGGTTCAATGACAAAGAGCTGGGAGGGGCGGAGCGAAGAGAGGTCCATCCTACTTCTCTGGCCCAAAATCTCAGGCCTGGGCTGAGCGGGGCGGAACCTGCAAGTGGATGGACTCAGCTTTGCATAGCAATACCTGGTTTTGCATAACCAATACCGGCAGGCATTTAAAGGCTCAGCCGCCGCTACGGATCTGGTAGTTTACTCCGGGCGGTCCCACCCTTCGCGATGTGTCCCCTGACACAGGCACTGCTCCTGATCGCCCTGGGCTTGCTTCTTGCCGGCCCTGTGGCCCCTGCGCGCATCCACCTGAACAAGGTTAGTTCTCCCTCCTTTAAGAGGCCTCAAGCATCCTCCTGGTCTTGGGGTGTGCGGGTGGGGTGAGATACGGGGTGGTGGTGGTGGTGGTGACACTCAGTTCTCTACAGTTGCTTCTTAGCAAAGTCAGTAACTATGGGACTCTGTTCTTGAGGGCGGGCTCTCAGGCTGTTCTGCTCCAGATTTTTTGGAAGGTTTAATCTCACGTGTGCCTGCGCTCTCTTGTCCTCACATCCCAGGCTTAAGTAGCGAAACAGTGCAGAATAGCCAAACTGTGGCTGTGCTCCAGGATCTGACACTCTGCCCTGTTATCCTCCATAGCCCCCCCACCCTCCAGCCCTTTTGACCTCAGGCGCCTTCTCCCTTTACCTGTTGAAATGCTTCTAGCTCTTCGTGAGAGATGGGAGGGTCAGTGCTCCCATCTGTTAACAAAATTCCAGCTGTGGGCCAAAGTCTAGATGGTTTTTCCTATTTTTACAAAGTCCTTTCCAGAGGGCCTGGGGCAGGCAGTACGCCCACAGATGTTGACCATTTTGGCCCATTAGTAACAAGATTCTTCCTACATCCTGCCCTTGGCATGGTATTGGAGTATCTTGGTGATGTATATTAAGCCTCTGTATCACTGTTAAAGTACCTTCCTTTCCAATCTCAGCAACCTTCTTTTTCCAATCACCACCCTAAAAGCTGTAAAACCCACCTGTAACCTGCAAGCCCACCTTTCCACATGTCCTGCCTTTTGGGGCCAGACCAATGGAAAAACTTTAAACTTTCTTGCTCTCAAAATCAAATAAAAGAGGGAACCAGCAGTTAGCGTAATGGCTATGTTGCTGGACTCCCACGTAGTTGACCACGGTTCGCGTCCCGGACCTGGTGGCTTAAAACTCACGCTGGGCACGTGGGCGTGCATGCCCAAGATCCGGAGAGGAGAATGGAAGAGAAGGGATTGCGGAGTGACCATCCCCCTTGAGGGGTGATTTCTCTCTTTCTGTCTCTATGTCTCTCTCTGTCTGTCTGGCGAACGCACACGCCCTATAGCAAAAACCTCTCCAAAAAATAAAAACAAAAAACAAACAAAAGAAAAAAAAATCAAATAAAAGAAACCTCTGTATCTGATTGTTCCAAGAGAAAGGCTTTACCCTCTCTCCGGGCCTAGGTCATTCATATTCTGCATGGAAATAAACCGCATTAATTATTAATTTTTTAGAGTTGGTTATTTTCTGCCGACATAACCTTATGATCCTACTTCTCCTGGTTATGAACCTCTGAGAGGACAGACCTCCCCTCTCCCAGCTTCCCCTTTCACTTCTCCAGCCATCCATCCTGCGGACCCCAGAGATAGGGAAGTTCTGTCATTCTGAGAGCTTGACAACTTAGTTTTATTGTCCCTTTGCTGCAGAGCTGTGAGCAAGACACTGAACATCTCTGACAGTGGAGTCAGGTCCACTCCAAATGCCCTCCCTCTGACTGCTTGAAAATGTTTGTCAGAGGGTGAGTGAAAAACAGTGTGATTTCACAAGACCGGGATAGGACTGAATATGCAGAGGCCTGGTATCTGACCCCTCCTCTGTCTGAATTCATGGCCTGCCTGACCTTGGTCTCCTCAGTTGGTGTGATGATGCCGGCTTGCGTCTTGGGTGGTTGTTGATGAAGACAAATGGTTTTATGAATGGAACAACTCTAAAATCTCAAACAAATAATGGCAGAAGCCAGGGACATGGCCAGGGAGTCTATTTCACCTGTAGAATGAAAGTGCTAGAACCTTTTGGGTACATTTGCCTGGAGGATTTAACCATGTCCCTGTGTAGGTTGAGAATGTTTCTCTTGGCTGTAGGACGGGCCGCTAGGAGGTGGAGTTCAGCTACAGGCCTGAGTGCCCTACTTCGGTTCTCCCATATGTCTTGGCTATCTGTGGATGTCATCCTAGACTGAAGGACCATAGTTAGCAGTTTTGGGGAGGCCCTGAGATGTCATAGAAACCATTCACTTCACTCGGGCCCTTAGGGGCTCACCCTGGATCATGGCTAATGGCACTCCTGACTCATATCTGCTACGGTGTACGTCTTCTTTGGGCTCATATGATTCAGAGCCCTGACCCTGAGATGGGGGTGTGGGGGAGGGGGAAGATGTTGGCTGAGAAATGATGATGAGTGTTCGAGCGTCCCAAAACCTGAATTCAGTTCTTCTAGCACTCACTGACCAGTCTTGTGACTCGGGGCAGTGGTAAATGTTAGCTAACAGGGGAGAATGTGCAACTCCTTGCTGGGCATGTGGCAGCAAGTACCTGCTCGACTGATATTCTACAATGGCTGTCAGTTATCATACACATACTGTAGGCTATGTATTGAGCCATGTTGGCCCCCCCGCCCCCCCAATAAACCTTCAATTTTGGAGTCACTTTAGATTTGTAGAAAAGTTGTAAAGATGGGCCACCTGGTGGCATGGCGGTTAAGGTGGCTAAATCCCACACCACTGCATGGTTTGAGTCCCCAATCCAGTGACTTAAGAAACACCCTAGGCTGTGTATGTGTGTGCCCCAAATCCCAAAAGGAATGAGAATTGGTAGAGGAGGGGTTGTGGTGTGATCAGCCTTCATGGGTTGGGTGCTTTTTTACTCCCCACCCCGCTGAGTGCATGTGCCTTCTGGGGAATTGCAAATTAATAAAGAAAAGTTGCAAAGAGAATGTAGAGTTCTCCCATAGCTGGCCCCCAGTTTCCCCTATTAGCGCTTATGTTACCATTGCACATTTGTCAAATTAAGAAGCCAACATTGTTCTCTTACTGTTAACGAAACTCATCCTTACTTGGGTTTCTTGACTTTTTCAGTCCTGTCCTCCTCTATCGCAGGATATAATCTGGGTTACCATTGTGCAATGTGCCCATGTCTCTCCACTTTCTTCTGGCCTGCGACAGTGTTTCGGTCTTTCCTTGTGGCTTCATGAACTTGATAGTCTTGAGCAGCTATGCCCTGTGCTCTGCATGCCAACTTCTTACCCTCACGATAGCCCTCCAAGAAGATAGAATTTTCCCATTTAATAGATAAGGAAATGTGACTTGAAAGGGGTTAATGTGTCATGTCTCAGCTAGTGAGAGCAGCAGAGCTATGATTGAGCCCACATCTGTGATTTGTACCTGCATTTCTGTCCCCGGAGCGATGCTTTCCCTCCACCATATGATGCCTCTTCCTTTATGCTGGCTTAGGCTGGAACTGGCATATACTGATGCCAGGCCAGGCCCTGGGTGGGCATTGCTAATCCATCACACCTCCTTTCCTTGGTACCTGGATTCTGCTGCTGAGTTCGTCACCCCAGAGATAGCTAGTGGGCACTACCAGGCAGCCTCCTTGTTTTGTGTGCTCCAGGGCTTGAATGAAGCTTGGAGCTCAGGAGAGGGGAGGGCATTCTTGAGGGCACTCTGAATACTTGCCCCAGCCTAAAATCAGCCCTCAATGTGAATTGGGCACCTTAGAATTTGTGAACCCCAGAAAATGGCAAAATGGTTAGTCCTCCTACCTACCCCTCTAGCCCTACTTTTTTTTTTTTTTTGGAGAGGTTTTCGCTATAGGGCGCGTGCGCTTGCCAGATAGAGAGACAGAGAGATAGAAAGCGAGAAATCACCCCCCCGGGGGGATGATCAGACCACAGTCCCTTCTCCTCCATTCTCTTCTTGGGATCTTGGGCACGCACACACACGCGCCCGGCGTGAGTTTTAAGCCACCGGGTCCGGGACACGAACCGTGGTCGACTACATGGGAATCCAGCGACATAGCCATTATACTAACTGCTGGTTCCCTCTAGCCCTACTTTTTAAAATATTTGCTTGAGGACACATGTATTCACGGGGTGGGGGTAGGGTGGGGAGTGGGAGAAATAAGGAGAGAAAGACAGCGAGAAAGCATCCCCTGGTGCGATGGCCATGGTGCAATGGCTTTTCCATTCTTCTCTCAGGGTTTTGGGCATGCATGTACATGTGCCCAGCATGTTTTTCAAACCACCCGGTCTGTCCAGGACTCAAACTCTGCAGTTGGCGATATGGGATCCAGCTGTCTTAATCACCATATCAGCTGGCCCTCCAGCCCCACTTTTAATTTATTTGGCAATGGTCACCTAACTGGTTTCCCTAGTCTTGTTTCTCTCCTATCCTGCACAGCCATAAAGCAGAGTGTGGTACTGTCCTTCAGCAGGGTCCCCTTGCACTCACAGTAAAGTCAGCCTCCTGATTACGACCCAGGAGGGTCTGCATGAACGACCCTGCTACCCCTCCAACCCTGGATCCCTCATTCACCGCATCAAGCCTACTGGGTTTCTAGTGCTTAGAGCAGCTACGCTTCTTTCCCATCTCAGGGCCTTTGTCTGAGCTCCTTTTGCCTGGACCGTATTTTTCTGCACTTCCATGTCTCAAGGCCCACTGTACAAGGGTCCAGTGTACATGGCACTTCCTTACTTCCCTTCGTAAGCGAGTCCTTTGTTACTGTCAATGTTAGTTTCCTTAGCCCCCAGGCTGTGGACTAGTGCTGGTCTGGAGTCTGTTGGGGGCTACATAGAGGGGTGTGGGTAGTAGGTAAGCCAGAGAGGCTTCCTCTGTGTTTACAGTGGCCCCCACTCCATGCAGAGCTGCCTGGGCTCCGCCTCCTATCAGACAGCAGCCATATTGGATTCCCATAGAGTGCGGACCCTACTGTTGTGTGACTGTTTCATTGTGTATCGCAGTGTCGTAGTGATGGAAATGGGGTGCATGTGGATGTGGTACACTGGGGTCATCTTGGGATCCACCCCTACCCCTAACTCCTGTCTGTGGAGCGTTTGTTTTCCATGAGGCCGGTCCTTGGTGCCAGGAAGGTTAGTGGCTGCTGTTTTAAGCACTTAGAAACCATAGTGGGTGATACTTTATTTGTGGTAGTAAGCTCCTCAAGACAGGCAGGAATCCTGCTATGACTTACTGCTATTGGCCCAGCTATAATGGTCGCTCCATGAATATCTGTGGAATGAATGAAGGAAACATTTCTTGATATCTACCCCGCCTAAGGGGCCATGGGAATTGCAGAAATGAATCAGATTCTGCCCTACCTTTCTTTGTCATGGCATGGCCTCTCTTTGCAAGGGACAGAAACCCACTCCAAGAAGCTCAAGTGAAAGGAAAGTCTCTTATAGGATACCAGGAATCACATGGCGTGGATGGCAGGAAGCGGAGGCTGGGGTAGCTAATGGCTGTCACTTAGCCAGCCAGCGCATGCTGTGTGCCTGGCATTGGGTTATGAGTGTGCTCTGACTCTTGCAACAGCCCAAGAGAAGATATAAATGCCTCTATTAAAAGATGTGGAAATTGAGGCTCTGAAGAGGTAACTGGCTTAGCAAATCACATGGTAAATGTGGCTGGGCTTGGATTTCTACCCAGGTGTCTCTGACGAAAGCTTTGATTCACCTGTATGTCATCCAAAGCCGTGCCCTTCATTGCTGCCCAAACTGCCTTCTGTGATAGAGTGACTCCCTCTGTTCCTTAGGGTTTGTCCCTTTCTTAGCATTGACTTGGTCACGGGTCACAAATCTAGATGGTCTTGCTTCAGCCCAAAGCTTATGACCCAGCAAGAGCATGACGCCCCACATCCTCAGAGTGACCCAGCCTCTTGTGTCTTAATTCCAAAATCAGGGAAAATCTGTCCTCCTGCTTTGGGTTGGGGTTCCCTCTTGATTCACTCAGCTGTGGGTGCATTGAATATGGATGTCAGCATGGGGGCGTGTTTTCTTCCTAAGATGGGTATGGATGGTGGGAATGATGACAGCCTCTTGTAGGTGGGAAAGATGGGAGTCAATGTGGTATAAGAAGTTTAAGATCATGAGACATATAACAGGGCTCTGTGGGAGACACATGTGGTTGGACCTCTGGGTCATGTGGAGGAGGAATGAGAGAAGCCACTCAGCAGAGGGGTGTAGGAAGACTCAGATGGGGGCCGTGGCATGAGCAGTGCCTGGTGAGGACCGGGGAGGTGCACTCAGTGGCGACGGGCATCAACCACTGACTCTGTGGGGACTTTTTCATGTGTGTCCTGTCCCCTCCTGCATTGATTGCACATCTCTTGAGGGTGGGGTTTTGGATGGCGTTAGGTTTCCCATTGTGTCTTGTGTTTCCTGTTGTTCTGGCCTTCATCCGGGACAGAGTAGGAGGTGGATGAGGTCCTGGTGTGGGCTGCACAGTGAAAGCACCAGGAGCTTACCCTCTGTGGGGTCTCCAGGGAGATGGGGGATCAGAGAATGTACCCACTGAAGGAGGACATGCTTAGTCTACTATTTTTAAATTCAAGCCTGATATGTTTTGTCTTATAACCTATATTTTTGAGATATTATGTCTTTAAAGCTATTTGGTTTAGTTCTGCCCATGAAATGGGTAGGAGAAATGTTACCCTAGGTGTTTTTTTTTTTTATAAGGATTTAATTAATTTTTATTTATCATTATTGTTTTTAAAATTGCTATAGGGCACACATGCTCACCAGAGAGAGCAAGAAAGTGAGAAAATAAGCCACCAGGTCTGGGACTCGAACTGTGTCAGTCATGTGGGAGTTCAGCACCTTAACCACCAAGCCACTGCTGGCCCTACCCTAGGTTTAAGATCCAGAGTTCTGAGTGAGGCTCAGAGAGGGAAGTACCTTGCCCGAGGTCACAATGCCTGGAGCCACCTGTTGATTCTTCTGACCTGTGATTGTTCCTTTATAGGGCACACATGCTCACCAGAGAGAGCAAGAAAGTGAGAAAATAAGCCACCAGGTCTGGGACTCGAACTGTGTCAGTCATGTGGGAGTTCAGCACCTTAACCACCAAGCCACTGCTGGCCCTACCCTAGGTTTAAGATCCAGAGTTCTGAGTGAGGCTCAGAGAGGGAAGTACCTTGCCCGAGGTCACAATGCCTGGAGCCACCTGTTGATTCTTCTGACCTGTGATTGTTCCTTTTCCACTTTTCTTTTCTCCTTGTCCCTGTTGCCTGCTTGGCCCTGCCCATCCCAGGCCAGTAAATTTAGCTGGGCTAACTGTGATGAAGCAAAGGATCCTGCTGTGATCAAATGCCTGTCACTGGAGCCTGACCCCGTCGTTGTTCCTGGGAATGTGAACATCAGCATCACGGGCAGTACCAGCGTCCGCCTCGAGTCTCCTCTGAAGGTGAGATGGGGCAGGGGCTGGGGAGGAAGGGGAGGTGACATGGGCCAGCCAGCCAGGCTCTGAGGGGTGTATGCCAGAGAACTGAGGATTTTAGATTGCCGGAATCCCAGAACAGCACAGGACTCATAGATTCAGAGACGTACTCGGGTTCATAGAATCTCAGGATCACAGGACTGAAAGGACTCTCTAAAGTCAGCCCCAAGAACTCTCTGATGGGGCACCAGTGAAGCATCTCTCTGGCTGGGCAGTCAGCATTCTAGCCATCTCTGGACGAGGTGGCCCACCACTCACTGTTGCCTGGTAGTCCCGATTGGGGTTGTTGTCACTGTTGTTAATTACCAGCTGCATCAGTTAGGAAGTAGCAAATTGTCAGTCACTTTCAAAAACACAGTGATCAAACACATGCCAGGTGCATGCACATGCATGCCCAAAATCCTGGGAGGAGAATGGAGAAGGGATTGTGACCATCCCCCCTGGAGGATGATCTCTCATTTTCCCTCTTTCTGTCTCTCTCTAGCAAGTACACATGCACTCTGGCCAAAGCCAAACCAAACCAAAAAAGAACAATAAAAATGTATTTATTTATTGCCTCAGGAGTGAGAGAGAGGCACATTTTAAGAAGTTTATTTCTTCTGGGAACCGGCAGTTAGCATAATGGCTATGTCGCTGGACTCCCACATAGTTGACCGCGGTTCACGTCCCGGACCCGGTGGCTTAAAACTCACGCCGGGCGTGTGTGCGTGTGTGCCCAAGATCCTGAGAGGAGAATGGAGGAGACAGGATTGTGGCGTGACCATCCCCCCTGGGGGGTGATTTCTCGCTTTCTGTCTCTATGTCTCTCTCTGTCTGTCTGGCGAGCACACACGCCCTATAGGGAAAACCTCTCAAAAAAAAAAAAAGAAGAAAAAAAAAAGTTAAAAACTAATAATAAATAAATAAGTAAAGAAAGAAAGTAATTTTTTGAAAAAAGGAAAAAAAGGCCCTGAGAGAAGGGGAAGGGGATTGCCTAAAGGGCCCAGCTGGTGTGTGCTGACCTAAGGCTTGAACCCAGGATTCTGACATCAGTGCCTCTGTTTGTCTAGTTGTGAAGCCAGGTGCTGTGACATAGACTAGCTTATTCAGGTTGTGCTGTGAAGTGCTGGAGCAGGGTCTTGGGGAGGGCCCTGGAGTACAGAGGTCGTCAGCACTTTATTGCCCACCTCTGCCTGCCCTCCCAAGCCATATTAGCATGTGTGAGCGCCAAGACTGAGCTATAGCTGTAATCTCAGCCGGCAAGCATGGCTGCTGCCTCAATGCCAACCGATGACTTATTTCAGAATGCTCCCACAGAGCGTTCCAGTGTGACACTGGGGTTGGGGAGGCCTGGGGGGCCAGAAGCTCTGCCCGTCCGGTGGGTGCAGCCCCACAGACTTCCACTTGGTGGATGCGCCAGGCAGGACTTGGCCCCTCTGCTGGCATTCTTGCTCAGGCCATAACTGACTCAAGCATTTTCATCAGGGTTTGGCAAAACAAGCAGCAAGTGTTGCTTAGAGGAGAAGGCAGGACTGAAATCAGGTAGGAGGCAGTCTTGGGGTTTCAGGCACGGTGCCAAGTGCTGAGCAGATACTGTGTTACTCAGTGGGACCTGGTGTGCGGTAGGTGCTATGGTCCCACTGTGGAGTCGAGGCATGGAGACGGAGAGGAGTTAGGTAATTCAGCACTAGCAAGTGGTGGAACTTGCATTCCCAGGCCTTCTCGCCTGTCCCAGTCAGAGGGCGAGGAGCAGGCTTGGCAAGAGAGAGGAGGGCTGGGAGGGGGCCTGTGTACTGGGGGTGAAGCGTTGTTAATGGATGTGTGGGACAGAGCAGGATGAGGCCAGTGCAGGGAGCAGTTTGAATGTGTCCGCTCAGAGTACAGGGCGTGCTGCCTTCTTCCTCCACCTGGGCTTGGGGGAAGTCAGGGCCTGGAGGAAGGTGGCCCATATCCAACATCTGGGACAGTTGGAAGACAAGTCCAAGCATAGGGAACCAGCCTGATCCCAGGAGCTCCAGGGAGTAAGTGCTCATGCAGGACTCGTCTCGTAGAAATGGCCTTCTGTATGGGACCAGCAGATGGTGTCATGGTTATGCTGGACTCCCATGTAGTTGACCACAGTTCGAGTCCCAGACCTGGTGACTTAAAACGTACTCCAGGCTTGTGTGTGTGCATGCCCAAAATCCCAAGAGGAGAATGGAGGAGAAAAGATTGCAGCATGGCCATCCCCACTGGGGGGTGATTTCTCGCTGTCTCTCTGTGTCTCTGGTGAGTGTACATGCACTGTAGCAAAAAATCTCTCACTTAAAAAAAAGAAAGAAAAAAAAAGAAATAGCCCTGTATAAAGTGATTCTGGAACCTGGACATCACAGAATGTTGGAATGTCAGAGCTGAAAGGGGTCCTGAAATGTGTTTTTTTTTATAAGGAGTCAGACACTCCAAGAGCTAACTTCCTCTGCCCTGTCTGTACTTTTTTCCCTTGGTAGTTTGGTGAGACATGGATGTGATTCTAAGGGCCACCTTCCTTGGCGCTAGTGACAACTAGACATAGTGAATGCTCACCATGAGCCAGACACAGCTGGGACTGCCCACCTTAAAGTCTGGCCACTTCTCCTGGGTCTGCTGCAGCCTCCAGGACAGGAGCAGGGTCATGACAGCATGAAGCCAGAGCAGGTTCTAGATCTTACCCAGCTTCCCTCTGGAAGCAGGGCTTTCTGTAGCTTTTCCAACTGCGTCCAGGGAACCCATGCTTCTTGATGTAGTTCTAGCGGCAGCACCTTCTCTACTAGTTCCTGTAAAATCAGTCTGATTAAAATCTACCAGATTTTTGTTATAGGGCCTGTGCACTTGCCAGAGAGACAGAAAGTGAGAAGTCACCCCCTATGGGGATGGCCATGCCACAGTCCCTTCTACTGCGTTCTCCTCTCAGGGTTTTGGGTATGCATACACATGCACCCAGCATGTTTCAAGCTACCGCTGTCCAGAACTGCGATCGACCACGTGGGAGTCCAGTGCTTTAACCACTATGTCACCTGGTCCCCTCTCCCCACTTTGTCCTTAATTCTGTCTTTCATGGCTATAGTTCCAGAGAGAATGTGATCCAAGAACAGCAAGTAGGTGTCCTTGGTAATCAACTCCTTCAGTTGGTAGTAGTTGTCTAAAATCATATAGGAAAGGGTTCTGAGGTCAAGACTGGGCCTAGAAGGAGAACCCAGGAAACAGTGGCCTGGTTAGCCAATGAGATGACAAGAGCATCTCCCTGTCGGTGGTAGCTCCCATGAAGGGAGGATTCTGTGAGTGAGGTTCATGATGGGGAGAAATTCCCATTTATTACTGTCTGCCATGGTACAGGGAAGGAGCACAGTGGACTGGCACCATGACATTGTTATTTGTGGATCCGAATATCTCTTAGATCCCATCCAGCTAAAAATTCTCTCACTGAAATATAATTCTGACCTTTTGAAGAGGGAGAGGAGCTGGTATGTTTGCCTTGTAATTTACACTGATAATCTTTTTGAAACTCTTTTTCACCAGGTGGATTTAGTTGTGGAGAAGGAGGTGGGGGGCATTTGGCTTAAGATCCCGTGTGTGGACCACGTGGGCAGCTGCACCTACGAAGATTTCTGTAATGTTCTGGACATAGCCATTCCTCCTGGACAGTCCTGCCCAGAGCCCCTACATACCTATGGGCTTCCCTGTCACTGTCCTTTCAAAGAAGTAAGTACGTAGGGAGAAGGGAGCGTGTTAACCCTGGGCTAGAGTAAAGAGAGGGATTTGGAGAGAGGAGTCTGCCTTCTACTGCAGATCTGGACGTCTGTGGGGATGTCAGCAGGTATGACCTATCTGGAATCACCCTTGGGGATCCTCTATCCATCTGTTCAAGTCTGGCAGACTCGAACTTGGATAGATCCCAGGGTCCTTTAGCCATCATAATCCATGCCCTGCACTGCTGTGGCAATCTCTCACCTTGTGTGGCACTTAGGGAAGTGGGAAGAGGGGTGGTTCAGGGCCGCCATCCTGTTGTTGGCTCCAGGAGAGAAATCTCATCAGCAAGCTCCACTGATCTGTGGCCCCCTGGCTTTCCCACAGGGCACCTACTCGCTACCCAAGACTGATATCACCTTGCCTGAACTGGAGCTTCCCAGTTGGCTCAGCTCCGGGAACTACCGCATTCAGAGTACCATGAGCAAGAACGGGAAGCGGATGGGCTGCGTGAAGATGACTGTGTCTCTAAAGGGCAAATAATGAGACCCCGGCCCAGCAGAATGAAAGGATATGAGGAAGGTGTCTTCCTCTGTCTTGCATTCGCCCAGGCTGAATTCCATCTCTCTGTCCCCCTTCATGCCCCTTTCTGCAATGATCCTGCTACCCTCACCTAAAATCATTTTGTGCACTTACATTCTAGGCTGAGCCAAGCAGCCCTAAACTGAAGGAGAATGAATTTGATAGCCCAGAACATCTGCTGGGCAGTCCCCATCATTTTCCTCCTACCCTTATGGCTTCCTTCTGGAAGCTTCATTCATTTCTATAACAGTTAGGCATGGTAACCAATAGGTTTTGTAATCTCAAGTGCACACTGACCAAACTTGGCCTTTTGAAGTATTTTTATGACTCTTTTTTTCCTTTCTTCTTCTTCTTTTTTGTTACTGAATTAAAAACAGAGTGAAAGTATTAACATTTTTCATTCTACTCCAAACCCTTCTTACAAAAGTGTTCATCTTAGTCTGCTCATTTAACTTTTGTTACTAATTATATAGTCTTTCTAGGTTTGCCTAATTAACATGTATCCTGGAAAGGAAGGGCCTGGCTGGTTGGGGGTGGTTGTTGGGGAACTATTTAGAAAAGCCCCTCCCACCTCTGTGTTTAAGATTGTTTACAAACTCAGGTGCTTCCTTGGCTAGCAAGAGATAATGAAGGACAAAATTCACTAGAAACATTGTTTTCAGGAGTGGCTTCTGGTTTTTTCTTTTTTTGATAAATATACACATACGATGAGTATAATAAATAATTTTTTACATTTTATATATATATATATATATAAAGCCACTAGCACATGCGCCTTACTGCAAAGCAGCCAGGCCTAGCCTCTGGCTGGGGTATCATCGAG